GGTACGGTACTAGTTTGGTTTACTCGATTCGGTTTAGCATCATTACTCAATCAGTAATTATTAGAAACCAACCAAACCAAAGCTGGTTTGAATTAATCTTCAACGACCTTTTGTTGGAAGCTCTGTTTTGTTGGAATCATGTAACCTGAATCTTGTGGTATAGTCTTCTGTAGATTCTTGCACCTTCGAATTCTGCGTGTATCTCTCGTTCGGTTCTTATACCCATCGGGTTTTCCATTAACCAACCTTCCTCTGTGTCAACTGTGTCCACATGTTGAAGAACATTTGATTCCTTGTCTAACTGATCTCTCATGTCTTGAGCCACTTCGAGCACATCTGATTGTATAAAGATCTGTTTGCAAAACAGAAAACAAAAACGAACCAGCAATATTGGTAGCCATTGGAGACCAAAGAAAGCTGTAAGTGTGGAAAATGATCATAACTAAGTAAAAAGACTTTACCTTTCCGCCGGGTTTTAGGTTTTGAATAATGGAAGTCACCAAAGGCTTTTGGAGAACACGTCTCTTTTGATGTCGTTTCTTGAAATGCGGATCTGGACACTGCATTTTAACGCGAAAACAAGAAGTTGGATCAGCACAGGGTTTAAACTTTTTGATGTTTACAATTTTTAACTTACCAAGATTGAGACAAAGTCCAATGGTCCAGGATAGCTCGATATAAGTGGTTCAAAAGATACCATGGCATTTGCAAATATGAAGTGTCTGAAACCAATAATCCACAAGAGATCCATCAGATAGGTTATCAACAGAGTATTAACAAATTCGAACTCTAAACCTCTTTTCCCTACTAAGGTTGGATTGCAGGTATTACACGTTTGAAAGTCCGAGCTCGTTCACCCATAAGTTGGCGCGCTTGACCAGCTGCAAAGAAATGATAGAAATTGAACTTCTTAAAGCCAACGTAACCAAATGCGCATTAGCTAAAACAGATGAATGGTCGACTGAACTGAAACTGTCAAAGGAGCTCAATCCATACTTTCTGGCGTATCTCTAACCCCAAGTAGTTTCTAGAATCAGTATTCTTTTTGGCTAGCCATAGGAGAAATCTGCCACTACCTGAAATCCAAATCCAAAAACCAATCACAAGGCAGAGACAAGAACAGAAATCAGATAGGAAACTTTTGGTTTCTAAAAGCTGAGACACATTTCAAGCACGAAAGAGGCGCAAGAAGACCAGGAGCAATATAAAGGAGAGATATTTGATTCCTCAAATCAATTTCAAATTCCATGAACAGATGAAAGATACCAACTTTGGTAATTGCTACCAAAAGTGTCCAAGAGAACTAGTATGTAATGTAACTCAATTAAGAGACCAGAATCTGCATACATATCAACTTTCAGAAGAAGTATATCAACAGACTTTGATTTGAGAGAAGCAAAAGTCCCATAGGTACAAGTAAGCTCACAAGTTACCACTTCCAATATCCACCATAAGAGGCAACGATGGATCCTTATAAACTCCATCCCAAGCAGGAACTGGAGCTGGAGTCTATCAGAAAGAAGAATAGTGTGAATCAGTTACACAGTTTCAAGGATCAAACTGTCACAAGTTTGCAAAACAGAAATATAGAGACATCATCAACTTACAGAGAAAGATGAACTGAGAGGATTAACATGCTGTCTGATTCTCGCATGACCCACTTCCTGAAAACAAAAATTGTAAGCAGAAGAAAGTTACAGAGAAACATAAATGATACTCAAATCATATCCAGATAGTGATAGTGATAGATCAACTCGTTAGTAGATGAGTCAATGAAGATGAAAAGCTCTCTAATTCCAACAAACATAGTATCAGAAGAGAAAACGAAACATTATCCGAAATTGAAAAGGAAAGGAGATTATTAACCTCAGATATCTTATACTTGAGGTTTAGTTCTGCATACTCCAATTCCACCAAACCATTGCTTCTCACTTCCTTTGAATCGAGACAAACTGAAGTAGACGCAGAAACAGAGTTGAATCCTCTGAAGCTGTAATAATGGCGAGGAGGGTTTTTGTGTCCAAACGGCGATGAAGCTAAGGAAAACACCCTTTTCGCCACAAGCAGTGGAGTAGTCGAAGTCGAAGAGCAAGCTTGACACAGAGAAACCATTTTCGTTAGAGAAGGTACCATTCGATTTCAATTGGATTCGACCGACCATAAAAATGTTTGCTTTTTCAGTGTTCTTCTTCTCCCTTTAAACCCACGAGGAAGAGAAAGCTGCATTCTCAATCTAGAAAACTTTAGAGTTTGGTACTTAATGTAAGAAGAATCAAAACTAATGGGGGCGTTTATGTAAATACATGAAATGGTCAAGAACATGTGGACTTTAAAACTCTCCGCTTGAGATCATAGCCACTAACTAAAAAGATGGCCTCGGTGGTTTTTCCATCGCTCAAGCTGAGGCCAAGCTTCTCCGCCGCCACGTCACCCTCCTCTTCCGCCGGCGATGTCAAACACCGTCCCGCCGTCATTCTCCCGGTAATTAAACCTACTTCCTCTGATTGATGATTGAGATAATTATAGAGGAAAATGTATGGTTCCACCGATAAAGTATAGATTTTTATTCTACTTTGAAGTTGATTCTCTGTTTCTTATAGTTTATCTGCATTTTCCTTTTGAAAACGTCTTTCAAAGATGGGTTTATATGATTCCAAGATGGGTTTCAAGTGAGTATATGGTTCCTTTTGTGGAATTGTTTGTTAGGGTTTAGGGAACAATTCAGGAGATTACAAGAAGCTACAAGTAACATTGGGTGAGTACGGTGTTCCTGTGGTTGTTGCAGCTGTATCAAGGCTCGATTGGTTTAGAAATGCAGCCGGTTTAGTTGATCCAGCCTATTGGCGTGGCACGCTCCGCCCTCGCCCTGTTCTTGATTGGTACTACTGATTGCTCTATGAGTGGATTGCTTGTTTGGGATTGGATTTGGTAACTGGTTTCAAATGATTAGTCTTGTTTGATCAGGTACTTGAAAAGAATTGATGATGCAGTCCGCGAAGCCAATGAGTTAGCTCAAGGTAAATATCTCATAATGTACATTTTTCTTTGGACAGATTCGATTTGAATGACGAGAGGATAGCTAATTTTTTTTGTGATTTGTGTTCTTGGATTAGACTTAGCTGCTAGTTTTAGTTCTAAATCGCGGGACCATTTAAAAACATGGTGATTTTGTGTCACTTACAGGTCAAAGATTGTCTTTGATTGGTCACTCAGCTGGAGGATGGCTTGCTCGAGTTTACATGGAAGAGTACGGAAACTCTGATATCTCTTTGTTGTTGACACTTGGTACGCCTCACTTGTAGGTAACAAATATGTCAATTACGTTTTTAGACCTTTCAAAAGATGTTGCCTTCGATGTTTTAACCGCGTGGAAACTCTGATATCTCTTGTTTTAGGCCACCACCGAGAGGACAATCAGGGGTTATTGATCAAACAAGAGGTCTTCTCTATTACGTCGAAGAGCATTGTGCAAAAGCTGTTTACACTCCGGAGCTGAGATATGTCTGCATTGCCGGGAGGTAGTGTTTCTTCTAAACCCATTGGTATTCGAAAGCTATGTCTAAACTCATGATTCTGAATTAGTAGTAGTTCATATGTAGATACATTCGTGGAGCTCCTTTGGTGAACAATGTAGATGCAGATGTTGATTCTGATGTGACTATGGGAATCAATAGTGGAGCAGCGATCTCAGAGTTTGCTATAGCAAGCGACAAGAAGAGCGGTTCACAGGTTTCTTCAGGGCCTAGTTTCCGTGCTCGTTTTGTAGGGCAAGGATACAAGCAAGTATGTGGAAAAGCTGATGTGTGGGGTGATGGAGTGGTGCCTGAGGTTTCAGCTCATCTTGAAGGTGCACTTAATGTTAGCTTTGACGGTGTTTACCACTCGCCTGTTGGCTCAGACGATAAAACCAGACCTTGGTATGGTTCACCAGTTATTGTAAAGGACTGGATTCACCATCTCATCGAGTGATTATTGTAAACATTCATCAGAACTTTCTCAAGAACTTTTGTCCCATTGTTTCTATCTCTTCGCCTACCATTCATACTCTGTCACATTATGTTATGTACATTCTCCACTTCTGGTATAACGATCCAATTCTGTCAAATGCCATCAAACGATTCACTGAGTGATATTTTACCGTTTAGGCGGTTTATTTACGGCAACGAGAACAAGGTGGTTTTTTTTTTTTTCAATTATAGCTCAGAAACTTCAATTAATTGTCAGATAATTAATAGAAAAAAATTAAAGTAATTGAAAACAAAATTAATAAACTGACAATTAATTTTAGTCCATGCAAGCGTTGAAATATAATTGAACTGGAATATATTTTAGTAAACCTGTAACTAAACGCTTAAGGCTCTAATGAGCAAAAAGAAAAAATCATAAATTACAACGCAAGTGAACTAAGAACAACATAAACAAAATTCAAAATTTTCCAAGTCTTCCACTTTCGTGCGATCATCTTAAGAGTTTTTTGGGTAGAATTTTTTCTTTCTTTACATGAACCAATTTTTTTTGTTTTTCTCTTGTTTTACATGGATCACCTAACTCACTAAATCCAATTTCATAACAACGCGTCAATTTC